CGCCACTTCCTCAAGCCAGGTGGAATATCCTCTGCAGCAAGTAGTGGAAGCATTTCAACTTCATGGTATGATGTCTTGCCGGACTAGGTTAACAGCTCCCCTCAAGCTGATGGTGTAGGAGTTACCTGAACTTGAATCTAAGGTCGGCAAAATGAAGGCGAGGAAGAGCTTTGGTAAAAATATCAGCAAGTTGATCCTGGGAATTTATATGGAGTAAGGCAAGAGTGGCTGATTTGATACAATCTCGAATGAAATGATAGTCCACTTCTATATGCTTCGTACGAGCATGGAAAACAGGATTGTGAGCAAGTGCAATTGCCGAGACATTGTCACAATAAAGAGATGTAGGAGTAGAGACATTGAACCGAAAATCAGCCAGAAGCCTACGAATCCAAATAATGTCAGTGGCAGCCAAGGATAGAGCACGGTATTCATCTTTCGTTGAAGACTTTGCAACCGTAGGTTGCTTCTTGACACACCATGATAGAAGAGTATCTCCAATGAACAAGCAATAACCTGTAGTAGATTTCCTGTCTGATGGGTCACCGGCCCAATCAGAATCAACATAGGCATGTAAAGTAGAGGAGTGACCGGTAATTGGTAACCCAAGATCAACTGTACCCTTAATGTATCGAAGAAGGTGTTTGAGAGCATGAAAATGTTGGTATATAGGAGAATGCATAAATTGACATAACTTGTTTGCTGCATAAGCAATGTCCGGTCTAGTGATAGTCAAATACTGTAAGGAGCCAACAAGGTGCCGGTAGAATTCAAGATTTTCAAATGCAGTCAGAGCCTTGTCGTCCAAACTTAGTTTGTAGGGAAAGGGAGTAAGAACCGGGTTGCAGTTTTCCATACCTGCCTGATGCAAAATCTCCAAGGCATATTTGGTTTGGTGTAGATGATATCCTATAGAGGTAGAGGCCGCCTGGATCCTGAGAAAATACGTGAGAGGACCCAAATTGCGAATTTGAAATTGTTGTTGGAGGCTAAGTAGAAGATCTGCAATGAGTTGAGGATTGGTGCCGGTGACTAAAATGTCATCAACATATATTAGGAAATATATGAGATGAGAATTGTGATCATAAACCAAGAGAGAGAGATCAGCATCACTGTGCCGAAATCCAAAAGACTGCAGATGGGTAGTTAATTTAGCAAACCATTGCCGCGGAGACTACTTTAGGCCATAGATTGCTTTATGTAAGTGACAAACAAAATCAGGATATTGAGGATCTCTAAAACCCGGCGGTTGATGCATGTAGACTTCTTCATTTAAATCACCATGAAGGAAAGCATTTGAAACATCTAATTGAAGAATGGACCATTGCCGGATAACCGTAATCGTAATAAAGAGACGAATTGTTGGTAACTTTGCAACAGGACTAAAGGTTTCTGTATAATCAATACCATACTATTGGCGATAGCCTTGAGCAACAAGATGAGCCTTGTAGCGGGCTATAGTGCCATCCAAAGCCCTCTTGGTTTTGTAAATCCACTTACAGCCAAGAATTGTTTGAGAAGGCGGTGGCTTAACCAATTCCCAAGTTCCCTGTTGCTGCAATGCTTGAAATTCAGCGGACATAGCATCTCTCCAGCATTTTTGTTTACTGGCCATAGTGAAACAGGTGGGATCGGGTTCTTCAACCAGAGAATGTTGGAGATTAAAGACAGGTTTGGGTTTCAGCTTACCAGTTTGCAGTCTAGTCACTATTGGATGCCGGGTCGGAACAGGTAAGGGAATGGGTGAAGTAGAAATTGGACTGTTTTGAGGAGACGTAGAGGAAGGCTGCTCGTGTAAATGAGGTGCAGGCGTGTCTGGTATAGTATATGGAGTAGTAGGCTGAGAGATAGTTGTATGAGGAACGAGTGTTAAAGGCGAAATGATGGTAGTGGGTGGAGATGAAGGCAGTGCTGAAGTGGAAGAGGAATTTGTGTGGAAGGGAAATATATTTTCAAGAAATTAGACATGACGAGAGATTAGAATTTTAGAAGTTTGCAAATTATAACATCTAAAACCTTTATCATTAGAACTATATCCAATGAAAACACAAGCTGAAGATTTGGGAGCAAATTTATGAGGAGCAGCTGGTTGCAACCAAGGATAACATAAGCAACCAAAAATTTTGAGATGGGAATAAGAGGGAGGACTTTTATACAGGCATTGAAAAGGAGAGATGTATTTTGTAATCGGAGAGGGAAGACGGTTAATTAAATAGACAGCCGTTAGGACCGATTCAACCCAGAAAGAAGTGGGTAATTTAGCCTGTAATAACAGTGTACGAGCAGTCTCAATGATGTGGCGATGTTTTCGCTCTGCCAGACCATTTTGTTGTGGAGTATGAGGACAACTAAATTGATGTAAAATGCCATTCGTGGAGAGAAAAAGTTGAAATTGAATGCTAGTATATTCGCCTCCCCCATCTGAGCGAAATATTTTAATGTGAGTAGAAAATTGTTTTTCCACCATGGCTTTAAATAATAAAAATTTAGAGAAAACTTCAGCTTTTGTTACCATCGGATACAGCCAAGAAAAATGAGAAAATTCATCCACAAATAACACATAATATCGATATCCATTAAGAGAGAAAATTGGGGAAGGCCCCCATACATCAGAAACAACTACTTGAAACGGAGATGTACATTGAGAATTTGAACTAAGGAAAGGTAACCTATGACTCTTTGCAGTTTGACACGAATGACAGACATTGCTAGTAATAGATATTTTTAAGGAAGGAAAACTAGATGCTATGCGAGATAACACGGCAGGATGAGGATGTCCCAGTCTTGAATGCCACGCAGATGAGCTGACGGTGGCGATGTAAGCTTGAGGAGACGAACTAGAGTGAGTTGGAATGGAATAAAGTCCGTCACGGCATGAACCCGAGAGGATCGAGCGTTTGGTTTTCCCGTCCTTTATACGATAACCATGAGGTGTGAAAGAAACAATGAAGTCATTATCAGAGGTTAAACGATGGACAGAAAGTAAATTGTGGGAGACTTGAGGAACGTGTAAGAGTGGTGATAGGGATAATTTACGGTTGGGCGTGGGAAGTATTCCTTGACCCGTATGAGCTATCGGAATTGACTGACCATTGCCGACCTGTATTTGCTGAGTACCCTGATATGGATGAGCCGTGAGAAGTTGATTTGGATCATTAGTGATGTGTGAAGTTGCTCCGGTATCCAATACCCAATCGGATGACTGTCCAGGAAATGCAGATATAGAGGTCTCAGTTGAGTCCGCAACAAATGCAGTAGGATTTTGTTTAACATAACTGAGATTAGTGCGATGCCAACATTTTTCTGCAGAATGCCCAGGTTTTCCACAAATTTGACATTCAATGCGTGGAACAGTTGTTCGACCACCACGAGAAGTGCCGAAACGGCCACGACCTCTCTGCGACCGAAATGGTGGTTTGGAAGAGCCACGCGAAGGAGTTGCAGCTAGTGCAACTGGACTTTCGGAAATCTAAACGGAACGCAGAGATTGAGCAATTTCATTTTCAAGGTTAGTTTCTTCACTGCACAATAGCGAGTAGAAGTCATCTAGATTCAATGGCTGAAGATTTGTACGAATAGCAGTCTTGAAACCTTGATATGATGCGGGTAAACCATTAAGAGTGTTCATAATGATATCTTCAGAATGTAGAGTGTATCCGGCAACGGTGAGGGCATCAACTTTTTGCTTGATTTCAGTCAAATATTGCTGCATTGTCTTGTTAGCCATTGAAATAAAATTTAGATCATTCTTAATCTGAAGAATACGAGATCTATTTGACAATTGCAGCCGTTTTCCGATCATTTGCCAGATCTCAGAGCAAGATTCCAGGTTTAAAACATAGGGCAATAGAGGTGCCGAGATTGTAGAAAACAATGCAGCGGCTAAATTTTGATCAATAAGCATCCATGTAGAGTAGAGAGTATTTGTTGTCAATGTACCCGTGGTTGAAGAAAGTTGTCTGGGAGGGCAGGGAGTGGAGCCATCCAAATATCCTTCAAAGCAATTTGCTCGAAACACCTTTAAGATTTGAGACTTCCAGGTTAAATGATTTTCTGGTGTGAGCTGTATGGTGATGACGTTCTTGATCGTGGACATCAAAAACTTCAGCTGAGGCGGAATGTTGATAGTGCCGAGAACCTGTGAGGTTTCGGTCGTGCTTGCTGCCGAAGAAGAAGAACTCCCTGATTCCATATTGTGAGAGCCGGATCTGCAGCGACCCAATTAGCCGTGAGGCTTACAGCTGCTCTGATACCATGAAAGTTGACCTGCAAGAGATGTTAGCAGAGAAACCGAAAACAGAAAAGAGGTGAAGTAAAGAAGAAGAAGAAGTATTTCGGTAAAAGCTTGCTTCATTTCTTTGCTACAGTACACCCTTATATTATAACAGAGTGTCATCATTTGTGTGCTGCGCCACTTCCTCAAGCTAGGTGGAATATCCTCTGCAGCAAGTAGTGGAAGCATTTCCACTTCACGGTATGATGTCTTGCCGGACTAGGTTAACATCATATGCAAGCCTTATACCAATCATATTTGAATTTTATTAAGTAGTATTCAAATATTTTTCAAATCGTCTTAGAACATCCATCTTTGTTCGAATAAAAGCAGAACAGGCTCGTAGAAAATATTGTAATGTTTAGTGTCATTTTAGTTTCATGATTTAAAGTAAAAATGATATTTTCAAATCTAAATAATCAAAAGTGTATCAATTTAGTAAACGATGATTGAGAAAATATATAGAGGCTTCGACCATGAAATTTTGGCGTTGAGCAATTTCATAAGCTCCAAGATTGTTGGAGATAGAAATTGTGACGGTAAGCAAGCTTTTTGTTCAGAAATATAGATGACTTTTGTATGAGAAAAATAATAAGAATATTCTGATGTATTATGATCGAATATAAATTCTGATTTACAATTTAAAAAGTATTTTCCTTTATGAATTTTACTTCTTATCTACATCGTCTCCACCTGGCTACCATCCAGCCCAGAATCGCCCCATCATCCAGAAAATTCTCTCATCAGCATCGTTTTGTTCGTTTCTTCCTCTAGCTCCATTGGGAAAATGACCAGTGTTGCAGTTTACTTCCCATTATGCAGCTTTTAAGCATGATAGACGATCATCAAAGCTAAAGAACACTCAAAGAATAGACCTTTGAGTATCTACAGCCTCCGCAGCCCCACCTCACAATGTATTCCCTTCGCCCAATCCTTTCCACCACAAAAGGACCAATCTTTCCTCTCCATATCTCACGCTCTGTCAGTCCGCATCTAATTCGCCGGCCGCCGCTAGCTTTCCGACAGGCTATCGTCAACACCCAATCGAGGCCCAAATCCACCTCGGTGAGGTCGGCTCTCTCCTCCCCTCCGGTCACTTCCACGCTTCGAGCCGATACAGGCGGATCAACTTCCGATGAGTCGATTGTATGGGAGGAGCGCATAGAGAAGGTTTTCAGCTTTTTATTGCATTATGGCATTCTTCTTGCACAAATATCACAGTATGATAAAGTTCTTTGTTTGCAGGGAATATACAGATGCAGATTCCTGGCTTTCTTAGGAGTGCTGGGTTCTCTGATGGGATCTGTGCTTTGTTACCTAAAGGTATGGTTCCGGCTTTGTTAAATGTATGGTAGGACCCGTTGGGCTTTTGCAACCCAACTGTTTGTTATCGGATCCCACTGAAGGTTGGTGGAGTTGCAACTTATTACAACGGTTTTATTGTAAATATGCAGCTGCAAATAATTTTGTTACAATGATGAGAATTAGAATTGGCTTCAATCATTCAATCATTTTGATTTGTTTTGGGAATTGTTAGAATGATTCCAGCACTGTGAAGCGTATGATCTGGGTCTGAGCTACAAATAGTTTTGTTCACACTTCACAAGCACATCAGGTAGTCATTGCAGTTCAGCAGGTATAAACTCTTTTAAGTTTCTAGTTTGAATGAGTTCTTCAACAAAATTGCAACCATGTTGGCAATCCTTTGTGTCGTGATTGTGATCTTTATAGAAGGCATATCACTTATTGAAATTGCAAGTGTCCGATATTGAGCGCATTGGCAGTGGTCTTTTGAAATACTCCTTAGCATGGATAAAAAGGATGACTTCAATTGATGAGATTCATAGGAAAGTGAACGAAGAATATCTCGATGATATTTTGTCTTTCCCCCCATAAAGTAGCCATAAGGCATTGTTCCTTTTTTAAACTTATCAGGATGATTTACCTAAAGAAAGTATGACTTTTCGACTGACAACAATTTTCCTTATATTACCACGAGGGTGTTCAAGATGATCGTCATGATCTTAGTCATAGGTATCTCAAGACCCTAATTGTATTTTTCTACATTAATAAGTCTTTTGGTGAGTTGAAGCAACTCAACCAATGGTTGAGATGGTTATATACCTAGATCATAACAAAAAGGTCCTTTCAAAAAAACCATGAGTGAGAGTGAATGGCTCAACTTTAGGCTTTGGATCTTTCCTATCTAACATTTCATCTTGAAAATGGGAGCTAGGTTGCGAAGAGACACTGATGACTTTTTCCTCTTTTTTTTTTTTTTTTTGATGACTTTTTCCTCATATTCAATGAAGCTCATGAGTTTTTGAATTGGTTTTTGTACTCGTAAACTGGGCAATGAATTGCTTCTTGAGTTATGAGAACGAAGTCATGCTTCAGGTGGGTGGGTGGGTGGACGAATAGAATTTGATGTTTCATCGCATTGTTGATCCTCAATAAGGCGATGGTGGATTTATATTGAACCACATGATTGATTTGATTTGCTTCACCCTTGTCAGGACCAAGAACAAGCATCTTGAATCTTGGCAGAGGTAGTTGTTTAGCTTGTCAAAGTGAGAAAACATTGGGCGGTTGAGCTCCTTGTTTGGTTGGTCTCTCACACAGAGTCTTTGTGGTTTTTTGGAATGTAGGAGTCATCCTTAAATGACTAAAAAAAAATAATGTGTGAAACTGAATGCGGGAAATATTTTGGTAGCATGATTAATTTTTGGGCAAGATGTGGATGAGGATAAGGAGCATTAGGGAAACAATTGACAATTTTTCATTCTTTGATGTTGGTCGGGAGTGTTGTAGTCATTGTTTTCCCCACTTTGAGGAGTATTATCTCATTCATAACGATGACCTAAAGTCTTATCCTTGGTTGTGCAATGATTCTTGGGCAGGATGTGGATGAGGATAAGGAGCATTAGGGAAACAATTGACAATCTTTCATTCTTTGATGTTGGTTGGGAGTGTTGTCGTCATCATGTTCCTCACTTTGAAGAGTATGATCTCATTTCTAACAATGACCAAAAGTCTTATACCCGGTTGAACAATGATGAATGCTTATTGTTTCACAAAGGATGTTAGATCTAAATGTATTCACTGAAAATAAGTCAAAACCTTCTCATTGTTTAAAATTGGGTAATATGAGACTTGCCTCATTGTAATTCCAGTGAAAAATACCTCGAGGCTTATGCTTTGAGCTTTTTTATGAGGCATGCACCTTAGTTTGATTGGGTCGCCCCTCGCCTCACTGGTTTGAGGCGTTGGCCTCATCCTATTTATGTATATTTTTCTATTAAAACTTGCCTACATCCTAAATTAAAGCCTTGAATAAAGCATGCATGCCTTCATGTACCTATGAGTTACAACAGCTTCTTCTCGACTGCCTCGACCTCCAACCCGTCACCACCGAGGATCACTTGGAAGCCACACACCACCACCACCACCACCTCTCCTCTAAAAATTTTGGAGTATTACTCTTTTCTTTATGTTGATGAAACATATTTATGAACGAGGAAGATGACAAAAAAATGAAGAAGCATATTATGAGGCATTAGACTCCACAGGATAAGACATGAGAGAGATTAATTTATTATGATGATAACTTAAATAAAGACTCTCTTAGTGATGACAGTACAAATGGTTTCTAAGTTGTTGTTAACTATTTCAACTTTCTTTAAGAATTAATTATGGATATGTAGGGAACTGATAAAGAAGAATTTAAAATTAAATTTGATGTTATATGATAATTTTATGCAATTTCTATATTTTATTTTATTTTACTCTTGTAATATTTGAATTTCAATTCTATTGCACATAATTTATTACTTGCCATTTTACGTCTTGTGCAAGTTTTTGTTTCATATCTATGTCAATTTGTTACTTATAGTTCAATTAAAAATTTACATGTCATCCTTTAATATAATATTTGTGTATTACTTTTAATATTTATTTTCATTTTATGTAATTTTTAATTTTGAGGTTTATACCTCGAAACGCCTTGAGGCTTATGCTTCGCCTCATGAACGAAAAACGTCTTAACACATAATTGCGCATTTTTAAACTTTGATCCTACTTGAGATTAAAATATGATCAAAAGTTGAATTATGTATATGGAAAAGCAAGGTTATTGAAAGATCATAAAGAAAGGTGTCCTTGCATAGTCATCCTTTTTTGCTAGTAGGGTTCCTCAAGGGCGTTTTCGTGCTCCCGCACTTTGGTTCACATCATGTGCTTTCATGCCTCCTATTTGTCTGGCTCAAACTGCTTGTTTGACTGGACTTGCAATGTAGCAACACACATTTGTCGCATCTATGTCTTTAGGCTTCTTTTTCGCATGTGCTCCTCGATCTGACTGCAGCTTTGCTAAGGATTACTTGGGCTTTTGCTCCTATTACTGATCCCTATAACCATTTCTATATGCTCCTTCTCTTTGTGCCCCTTGGTGCAACAATTTTTTTTATTCTTATGATGCGCTGACTTGGTGGTTTTTGCTTTCCTCCTTGAGAGTTTATTTTGGTCTTCGACTTTTCTGGTATTAACATTCTTGGCCTAGCCTTGTTTTTTGTGCATGTCAACATCTTAGCTCGCAACTATTTATCGCCTCTTCGAATATCGCTTGCATTTACTCGATCAATTCAATTCCTTCATCTTCTTTGTTTCCATTGAGGTTTCATGTAGTGATCGAACTCTATATTTCCTCTCAAATAATTCTCATTGCTCCTCAAATTCCAGTGCCCCTAGCGTTTGACCCTTACAATCATCATCACTTATTTTGATGGCCGCTATCTTCTCTTAGGCTTCTCATCCTACTTTTAGAGTATCAACTTTTCCTATTGATTGCTATTCTTGATCCTTTGTTGAACTTTGTTTTGGGGTTGAAGTCTTCACAAATTCGTAAATCCTTAACAAATCAATTTCCTTATTTTTTCAATAATATTCAGCCCCACCTCGTTATAAACAACTTTCTACTTTTCAATCAAATATGAACTTATTTTCATTTAAAATGAGATTTGTTAGCTTGCAAGTTCACTTTCTTTTTCTATTGTAGGCAAATTTCTTCGGGCTATCCTAATATGAAGATTATTTATAAATTTATATCATACTTGCACTTAGTTGGCGAATTGTCTATTGTGCTCATTGTCCCTCTCCATATCATTATAAAATTATCATTGTAATTTACACTGACGCTTAGTTCTATTCCTTTTAAAAAGGTGTGGATTGAATCCTTGTTTTATGACTATTAATATAAGATAGAATTTAAAGGCATTTTCCCCTATTATTCTTCTTGCAAAATTTTGGGCCCAACTACTTTGAATGTCTTAAGGCTCATTTAGAACTAAGGGCATCAAACATCTATACACAAAAGGAACATACAATTAAGCATAATCTACCTTCAAGCATGATGGTAACAGCTCCTCATACTGCATTGGGCTGTGGGCTCTGAAAAATTCCATTTTGGTATGTGTGTTCCCGGCCTCTCCACGTCATTAGTCAATTTTTCTTTTAAGTGTTTGTGTGACGACGACGATGGAGAGTTTTAACGAGATTAGGTTCCGGGGGAATTTTCAGAAGGCAGATTGAGTTTTAGATAAGACACTACCCAGAGATTTCGCCCTCATTTAGTGAGGACTTTTTGATCTGAGTTCTGGTTTTTTATAGGCGCAAGCCCCTATAGTTAATTACCCCTCCCGATAATAGGAGAGAACTTTCGATTAAGGCTAGTCATTAAAGTAGTTATATAGGTTAAAAACCTATCATATAATAGCAACAATTTTAGGGTTTAAATTTTGAATTTGGATGATTTGAAATTTAGAGTTTATCACCACAAACTTAAAACTGAAGTTGGGGGGAATGAAGATGAGCCCGATCAAGATCCCATGGTTCCGTCGTCCCGGGCTGTCATGATCCCTGGTCTACTTAGTCAGAGGAGGTAGTCGACCCAACCTGACAGAAGGCACCTTGTCGGCAGCCATGGGTTGCTTCGTCCAAGAATACCTTGTAGACCTGAGTTGATGTTTATCTAAGGGGATATATATGAATCTACCTTAACTAACAGAGGGCTTTATGCCTATTGGATATACCTTATGATCCATCGCTCAAGGGTTTGACGCCTTTAGGGAACATACGGGCTTTGGCCGTGATCGTAATATAATGGTGTCATTTTGCGGCAAAACTACCCGATCAGAGGGCACGTGCCACGTCCCTGTTGGCAAGAGACTATTTGAGGATGAATCGCAGTGATACACCCGACATGCATTCGCTCTTTGTGAGCTGAAGTTAATTTCAAATTTATCACCCCCGACAAACGATTGCGGGAGGTGGATGATTTTTAGTTTTAAGTTTTTAGATGATAGATTTCATTTCAAGAATTTGGATTGTTGTTTGATTTAAGATTTGACCC